GATATCTAATAACCAACTAGCACGCAGTGACCCACTGACGTAAGCAACAAGACAACTGTGTGTTACCATGTTCACTACTATAGAGGGGTAATTGGTTTTTCGCTTACTATCACATACTATAGCTAACTTCTACATCCTGTATTTATAATTTATTTATTTATTTGAACACATAAATATTGATACAAGAGGGCACCAAATATATATGCGCCACACAAAACAATGAGAATTTGGAGAGAAGGGAAAAGCAAAAAAAGGAGGGTAAGGAGCGTAAAAGAAGAAAAAGGAACAATAGCGAACAGATTAGTGTAAGGCAGTGTAATGATAATAATAATAATAATAATAATAATAATAATAATAACATAAATGAGGGAAACGGAAAAGTACAATCAGAAGAAATCTTTCAGTTAAGGAAGAAGCAACCACTTTTTATGAAGAAAGTAAACGAAAGTTACAGCAGGATCGCCACTGGCTTCTATTCTGAGCCATATCTGATAACGTCCTGAACCACTTTGTCGCACCATCTCTATGACTCCAACCAAGGAGTCGCGAAGGACCAACACAAGCCAGTCCTGTACAGCTCTCTTTCATACCACGACACCGTGTCATACACTGACCACATCTCCGCTTTTTCCAACCAGTCCCAGCGTTGGCAAATAATGCACGACGTGGAATTCTCTGGGACGACATTCGTAGAACATGTCCAAGCCACCGAAGTCGGTGTTTCAAGATGGTGACACCAATTGCATTATCGTCTCTGTGCCCGAACACACGATGCCGAACATCTGCATTACTAACATGGTGTTGCCACTGGATGTCAGCAATCCTTCGGAGACAGCGATGATCGAACACAGAGAGTCGTCTAACATCCTCAACTCGGAGAGGCCAGGTTTCACAAGCATAGAGCAAAACTGCTCTCACCGACGCGTTGTAGATCCGACCTTTTACAGCCAGATTAACATCATAAAGGCGCCAAACATGGCCCAGATTGGCATAAGCCGCTCTGGCTTTCACTATACGTGCATTGATCTCATCACTCACACCACCACCAGCACTTTTGCAGCTACCCAAATACACGAACTTCTCGACTACTTCTATCTGCTCACCATCCAGAGTGAGTACAAAATTAGAATTCTGCCAGTCTTGTAGAAATACTTTGCACTTCGAAGGTGCAAGCACATACCATACCTACGGACACTGATTGCCAACTGATTAAGTGTGGATTGCATGGCCTGGGTATCGTCGCACAGTAAGACAATATCATCCGCACACTCAAGGTCGAGAAGTCTTTCTCCAGGCAACAGTTACACACCGCCACTACTTACATCCATCAGAGCTGTTTCCAGAATGTCATCGTTGGCAAAGTTGAAGAGGAATGGTGAGATTGGGCAACCCATTATAATCCCTAGGGCTTGAATGGAACAATCGAGAGGGGTGGTTGTATGCCCTCACTCTACCTGAGGTGTTTGTATATAGAGCCCTCAGGATGTTAATAAACTTCTCAGGCACACCCTTCTTCAATAGACAATCCCAGAGAACAGTCCTGTCCAACGAATCGAAGGCAGACCTGATGTCAAGAAACACTACGATTGTTGGCCTTTGATAAGTATGACGGTGTTCTAACATTTGGCGGAGGGTGAAGATATGATCAATACATCCTCGACCGGAACGAAACCCAGCCTGCTCTTCGCGAGTCAATCTTTCTCGGGTTTTGAACAACCTACGAAACATGACGGAAGCCAACAGCTTGGACGCAATCGGAAGTAGACTTATGTCTTCATAGTTGTTGCAGAAGCGACGTGAACCCTTTTTAAAGATAGGGACAACTATCGACTCAGTCCATGGCGTTGGTACACTCTCCAGTTCCCAGACCTTTGTTAACAACGTCGTCAGCTCCTTAGCCAGAAAGTCACCACCATCTTTACAAAGAGCCGGAGGTTAGTCATCTGGGCCCGGTGATTTGTAACGTTTCAAGAGTTGGAGTTCCTTGCGGACTTCCGCCTCATTTGGTGGATCAGTCGTCACCGGCCATGGAGGGCAGGACAGTCTGACCGATGTTGCTGGAGCAGCAGGCCAGTTGAACTGCCCTTTGAAGAATCCGGCCCATCATCCAAGACGTCGATGGATGTTAGTGATTGGCATCCCGTTATCCTTGCAGATTGTTTCGCTCACACCAGACTTCTTACTGCCAGTGTCTCGGATGAGTTGGAAGAGCTTCCGGTAATTACCAGATGCAGCTGCTGCTTCCAGCTCGTTAGCACGCTCCGACCACCAGGCTTCTCGGTCCTCACGCGAGCTTTGTCCAATTTCAGTACGTAACGTCCTTCGTTTGTGGTCAAACTCACGGTCACCCGGAGTAGACTGACGGGCTTCATTGAATTGTAAGGAACCAGAAGAAACCCAGTGCTTATAAGCGGGACGTTTCGCGAACCCACGACAGACTGTACTCGCCATTTTGATGGCGTCATGCTCATCTATACTTTTCGGTGGAATGGTAGCTAGCCTACAAGCTAGCTCGCTTCGATACTAATGTAAGAAAATTATAAATAAATACATATGTGTACAACAATACATTTAAATTAGATTTTGATTTTTGAAAAAATTCTGTGCCACATTTTATTAACCGGATTAAGTTATTTCCCTTTCTTTAATTGTAAGTTATCATTATTATGTTGCTAAGTGCTTGTATTCTGACACTAGGAACATAAAAATAAAATAATAAATCGATAACTGTACTCAGAATAAGCTTAATATTAGATTTTATTCACTAAGTTGAAATTTCCTTCAGTTAGATTAGAATTAGATAACTGTTTTCGCGAATAACCAGTATTTAATTCGATTAAACTTATGCTATTTATCGCTGATGTACAACATTATTATTTATTAGTTTAAAGATGAAATACAAAAAATGTTTCAGCAAAGCTCACTTATTTTATTGACTTAATCGTATACCACATTGAGAATTAAACTTATAAGAAAAACAATATTAATAAATCAGTTATCTTTTCTACAGATAATTAAAACTCTACCATTATTATTTTCTTCGGTAGGTGATGCTGATAATTTATAATAAATAATGAGAGGATTGATGGGTCATTATTTAGATTTACTTTTCATATCACGAACCTTTCTCCGTGTTTACCTAACCACAGTATACAGTTCTGATAGAATCAGACCAATATAAAATAGAGATAGTTCATTTTATAGGAAATACAGATAAACAAATATAACCGGTATCTTTCTGTTGACCACTGGAGACCTTCTTTATAATAAATTACCCTGAAGGGATTTCTATTCCTAATCGAAAATGAAGTAAAACAAATAATTAGGAAACAACGACTTTGATCCGATAGAAGATTAATAATACAACCTAGGGGTAGATACTAAAAAGGTGTTAAGTGTTCCGAGTATAATTAATTTAACTGGAAATACAACAATACTGTAAATGTGTCTCAGTAATGAAGGCGATCAACTCTAATCCACAACACATTGGATTGAAAGCTATTCTAATTGGGGATGAGTATTCGGAAAGTGTCATTAGATATTACACAACAGATGTGTTTCACAGTTTAAGACATAAATGCACGACGACTTATTAAGTTGCATCATTTGGATCAATCAATACATCAACAAAGTGACGAGAACTGTATTATGTGTAATAAAACATAGACAGGGTCTTCAAGATTAGATACTGTGAAGAATTTTGAATGTAAGGTTGTGGGGATGATTGAATTTCATTGAAATGATGATCCGATATAAATTAGACAACCATTGAAAACTTGGAAGCACTGGATGGAACACAGCTGAGGAGTCCCATGCTAGAGTGAAACATCGTTTAGTGCTTCCAGGTTCTCCACACATTTGTTTTGATATGAACATGTTTAATAGTACCCATAATCAAATAAAGAACTAAAATGTTATAATGAGAAAATGAACTACTACATAACATTGGTAATAACTAACAATTAACGATAAAAGTTTTAAGTAATCTCTGAGTCTGTCATTTTCTTGAAATTTTGAACTGATCAGAAGAAAACCTTATGAAGCTTAAAATCGGGATAGAACGAGCAGTTTTCAGAGTGCATAATTTATTCAGTTGATGTAACTAATAAAAATATATAGATTTGGTAATAATGGAACTCTACCAAGGCAAAAAGATTTGCAGTAAGCTCCGACAGTGGCTTTTATGACAGTAGAGTTTTATTATCGAGCTTATGAGTTCTCTCAAGAAGTAAAACATAAAAATAAATTGACTCATTCACCAGAACTCGGATATGGGCTACAATAAGTATATGGAGCAATGACACTATTCTACTGTTCAAACAGACGTCGGTGGAGTGGCGTTCGAACCCAGGACCTAATGGCCGAAAAACAAGCCCTCCTAGTCACAAGGTATTTCACAATAAAACAACAAAATATGTCTCATCCTTATGAATCTATCCTCATGATGCATTGAGAATGTTTTGAAAGAAATAACAATATTTACTATTAAACAAATAAAAGGAACATTATACGAATATTCGTCAATATTAGAACAAACACTTTGACAGAAATTGAACGCCGATTATAGAGAAGACATTATGTGTGATAATTATGTTTTAAATAATTTCAGAGGCTGAAATTTAAGTAATTGCAACGTTTCGCCCAGCAAACTTATCTGGACTTCTTCAGGGTAATAATCAAAAACAAAATTATCGGAGAAACATATAGTGTTTAACTATCAAATCAAATCTATACTATGTTTATCCAATCATGTTCAGATGTTGACTTTAGTAAGTAGGATAACATGAGTCAGTTCTATGTGAATCATGTGAAAAGTTCACACTGTGAAGATAAATGAATGAATAATTGTGTGTGTGCATGTGTAAGTTAAGATTATTCGATCCCCAGAGAGTGTAACAGGGAATGTAGATCATCATTAATAGTTCTTATGGTAAATATATATTAATTTAAATAAGAATACTTCGAAATAAAAAAAATGAAATTAATTGAAAGAAGCTTACTTATTGAATGAGCTGTATGAGTTCTCATAAACCACTGAACCTGATCCTCCACCTCCACCACCACAGTCTGCGGATGATTTGCTTATACTGGTTGCTTCATTTAATTCTGAATTCAATAAATTCACAGATGGAGAGCCGGTGAAATTCAATGTCGACATTTGTACATTTGCATCGTTTAATAATAATAATTGATTTGCTTCTAATTGCTGTTGTTGCTGAACAGCTAATAAATTTCCTGGGGATAAATATGACTGCATAGAAGGTGGGATTGTTGAACCAGGTCGTGATGTACGACCATATGTACCGAAACCTTGAAGATATGATCCATTTGATAGAGTATGACCATTTATTGTGGGATTTTGCATTAAACTGTTGGCAGCCACAGCAGCAGCTAAAAGTTGTTGTTGGTGTTGTTGCTGTTGTTGGTGTTGCTGCTGCTGTTGCTGACGTAATTGTTGTTCCACTAAACCAACTTGATGTTGAGCTATTAGTTTAGCTTGTTGTAATTGAAGTAATTTATTAGTCTCAGCATTCAATAGAGCAGCTAATAAAAAGCAACATGTAAGTAACAGTTGAGATTACATGTCAAAACCAAATAATGTACTTAAAATGTTCTGTCTCACAAGAAATGAAAGTAACAGGTAAACATTGAAGTTGAACGGTTATATGCAAGAATTCAAGCTAGTGAATAAATTATTTACCTAGCTTTTACACTGAAGTTAGGATACGTAAAGAAAAAGGGAATTACTAAAATCTGTTAAAGTTAAGAAGCAAATCAAGTTTGCAACACATGTGTTGAGCATTGTGTTATACAAACGTATCAACAAGACAGTATATTTCGAACATTACATGATTATCTTTCGGAATGAAATAGTAAGAAAGGTCTCACATCTGAACTATAATCATTAGCAAAGACGCAAACTTCTAAGATGCACAATGCTTTCCATGATGGTATATCAAAAAGAAAGGGGCCGATAAATTCACGACTACACTTTCACAATCAAACAAGAGTTTATATCGATAACAATATACAAGAAATCTTATATTTGGTAAATAATCTACCAAGGACATAATCATTTGAAGTCATTTTTGTGGCACAAGGTAAAAACATCCACAAAATCTGACCATACTGTCTGAAGACCAAAATTTTTCGGTGAAAGGAAACATAAAGTAAATTTAATGGCGCATAGTATCGATGAACATACAATAAGATGGAATAATTCTTGGCGGAGAAAAAAAGAACAGAATACGTGTTTCATTAAGAGAGACGTCATAACAAATGAAGATTGTTCGATAGATGGCTGGAAAGAGAGCCTAACGAATAAATGGCCTTACTTACTTACGCCTTTTAACTCTTATGGAGAAGCATAGGCCCCCACCAAGCGTAGACGGAAGCGAGATGAACTGAAACTGCTTTTTCTATCTTATATCAATCATTAAGGTAATAAAATCATATTAAAAATTAAGGATGAGAATAAGCTTATAGTGAAGGAAATGTCTGAAATTTAATTTTCTTGAGTTGGTCTACTATAATCATTTTTAGGTAAATGAAAAAGGAACAAAGGCGCAGTTAGAGAATAAATAATTGCTTAACAAATTCATTGATTTTCATGTGATATTATGAATGATACCAAATGACTAGCTAAACGATGACAGATGATCTAGGATAACAAAGTTGTTGCTGACAAACTGAAAGCCAACGAATTTGATGTACATGTTAAAACAAAAATTTATTTAATGTGTACAGTTTCGAGATATTTAATGAAATAAAATTATCGATATGAAAGCAAAGAATACGAAAACAGACTAATCTATTTTATTTTCCATTACAATTCCATGATCATATATTCGTGGAATGTACAAACATGGTAACCATTAACTGACGCACGTGCTGCGTATGCCTGAACACCGATCACCACGACGCGCAATGCTAACCGGTATTAGGGATGATTGGAAGAGTTAGGGGTGGCCAAACCAAAACGTGGCATCAAAGCTTGAAGTCACTAACTTCTGGTCTGAGCCATGTTGGTAGATGCAGACTACTTGGTTGGGGTCCGCGTGACTATCGTAACCAATGGTTGGAGACTCTTGGTGACATGGCTCAGAATCGATCACAATGGCGTCGGTGTATACACCACTCTCTGTCTTCCTTTAAACTAAGAGATTAAAATGCTTCATATCTTTCTTTCTACGAACTAAATCTTTCTTCCTGTACTAAATCCTTATATGCAATCTTTCTTCTATATATTACCACCACTGAATTAACTACTTCTATGAATCCGGTGTTCATCTTGTTGTGCTAATGCGGTATGGCAACTTGGACCGATGCATATACGTGCCTGGTCCTACGTTGCAGCTGACTGACTGACTGAACTCCTTTATGTCAAGAATATATTGAGATAATTTAAAAACGGGAACAACTAATTTATAACGATCCAAGTAACAAAAATTTGATTTAAATATCAGTTTATTCAAATAAATACATACCAGTTGGTAACAAATCACAGGCATACAATAAACAACAGAGGACTAAATAAAATTGTAGCTTTAATTCATGTATTTTATCAACCAGATAAATGAAACATTCGAAGAAATAAATTTTCATTTTCTTCAAAAACAAACAACCATTGTATTAAGGTTTCCTTTAATTATTAATTTATATATATATATATTTGAACAAATGCATTTTTTTTAAAAGTAACGGGTCAAAACATTTGCTGTTTGCAGGTACAGTTCTTGAGTTCGACTTTTCCGGATAGTTGATAATCTTGCTTGAAACAATTGTTCACATGTTTATAAAATATGTATCGACATAGAACGCTGAGAAGTTTCCATTTTTGTATATCGAATGAATAACTCGTTTAATTGGTTTACAGATAGTCTACATAATGTCGGGCGTTGACATGAAGATCATCTTTTGGAATTAGTAAGAATGCTTAAGAGAAACGGATAGCTAAACAGTTTGTGATGTAATATACAGTTATTCTGAGTTGGTGAGTCGTAACTCTCTATAGTGAAGAGTAGGTTATTTCTGTTAGCTTAGACCTCGCTAATGTTATACCCCTCCAACTTCAATGAACAATGCAAAATATTCGGATATTATTCAGAGAGAATTACATCCAGATATGTACTAGTTTGCAAAATCTCGGTTAATTCTTACTCATTAATGATTCCCACCAACGCAACTGAGCCGTTAACAATAATGGGACTGAAGTCTAAAATCAAGTGACTAACATTCTTGAATTTCTAATAGTTAAAAATTTCATGTGAACTCTGCATTAACACAATCACTCAAGGTGTAATAAATAAACTGAAAACCACATATCCATAAAGAAATAAATACGAATTAATTTAAGATAATTACAATGAATAAAATGTATCATAGTGAATAGTCTGACTAATAGCATTGTTTTTTTTATAAAGAAATATAAAGAAAAACAAGAGAAAGAAAGATACATTAGTCCGTAGACAAGATAAGCGAAATTTAAAATCATATGATAATTTATACAAGCATTGTTCCTTATAGCAAATAAACAAGGACAGAAAAAACTTGTTGAACAACAACCGTCAGTGAGATAGCTAGCTGAGTAATCATATTGATTGAAAATATATAATACACTGCATAAGAATGATTGGAAATGAAAAATATCCAAAAGTGATATGAAAACAAATAAACAAAACATGAAATCAATGACAGGTGGTTTATGTTGTTTATTTAAATAAAGCAATAAATAAGAAACTATAAGAAATTCGAGTAATACATTAAAATAGATGAAATATTGCATTTCTAAGCTCGTTTTAATTGCATAGGCGACTTTATGGAGGTTGTATGAGATTTGAAGGTGATTTTCTTTAAAGAACAGTTAAAGGCTGGAGAACTGATAAGAACTAATAAACCACAAAACTGTAATTCTATATAAAGCCTTCACTATTGAATGGGACTAAACACCATACTTTCAGGTTTCACAGCATGGAAAACAAGATTCAATTCGTGTTAAAAATGAATTACAAGATCCAAGCAATAACTAGATCTTAATTTTATTTCAACCGTCTCAAGTCTTAAGAGTAGCATTCAAATAATATAAACCCTTGTAAGGATAATTTCCCTATTCCAATCGAGCTGAAATTGATTAGCTGGACGACTGACCATCAATAAGGCCATAATTTTACTGTAGATCAGTAAACATAAATAAATTATAAACCTAAGAACATATTGATTTCAAAATATGATATGAAATTGGAATATCTGAATATTTTGATAAATATACAATTTTATGTATACACAGAGTAAATTCTTAATTATTTTGATTGATTCATGGTAGTGCACAAAAGCTTTCAATGAAAGATCACATTACACAAACAATTGCTGTATATTTTAGCTGTAGGTTTGATGGAACCTTAGACAGAGCTTAACATTTCCAATTCCAAACTTGAGAGAAGCTATTTGAAATATAAAAATGATGAACCTGATGATCAACTAGTCAAAAAGCGAGAGTAACTAACATAAAACAGAAGTAGCTCCTCAAGCTCTCCATGACCTCATATATAGTTGATAAACTGTATATGCACCTATGTAAACATAAAAACTTTCGTATCATACCTAATGTTCAATTAGCAAAACATCAAAGGGAAATTACTAAAGCTGAAAGAGTAGACATATACACTAAACAATACATGCAGATTTGTTAAAAATAAGTTTTTTTTTTAGTAAAGAAATGGGATTATAAACTGTTCCTATATATTCTTATAATCACCTTTTGCTAACAAAAGCAATCCAAATAATTCGGCAAGGCCAAAAACCCAAAATACTAAAAACTTTGAAATAGACAAATGAAGGCTAAGGACAAACGAAAAACATAATAGCGACAGGAATGAAAATGCATTTTGAATTACATAAAATATGAAGTAAATGAAATTTTATGGTGCTTTGATCATAATTGTTAGAAGCAGGCGGAATCTATTGTCCACCTTAAGATCCAGAATAAAAGATTAAATATTGTAAATTATTCACTAAAATAAATTATATGTAGAAAACTAACAAACTACATATTTTAGTCTATCGAATGGCACATTTTGATTAGTCCCACATAGAATAAAAATAGTAATTGACTACTTTACGCAAGCAGGATTAATGGGAGAGAAGCACTACCTAAGGGGTTGAATTTGATTAGATTTATTAAGGTATGTCACTCGTACCCTTGAGAAAATTTGAACTATTTAGGAAACATTAAAGGCGAATTGTTGTGATGTAGTCAGATTTTCTTAATGTATTGAATGACACGAATTAAGCAAACAAGACAAATCATGATGTACTGATATCTGTACATAGAGAAGTAATGTTGAAGTGTTTCCATATGAAATTAAACAGTAATGTTAATGTAATTTCCCTGTTATAAATTGGTTGATAACTGTATTACTAAATATAAAGACGGACCTCAAAAACGTGAAGTGCAAGTTTCTCATAAAATTTCTATACAATCAATATGTTATACAGTATATAATTGGATGATGTAACACCATTGTCTGCAAATCTTGTTTAGTGGA